AAATGCAAAGACAGTTACTTCAGCAGAAGTGTTATTAATCCTCTGAGCTAGTTTTCTCAGCAACAACTTACAGAACCACCGCCTGAAAAATTTATCCTTTGGCACCCAGTTTGAGCAGAACTGGACATCAGGATTTTCCCCAAGCAGAACATCTCCCCTCCCCCCACCACCACCTCAAAAGAAACTCTGCTTATCCTTCAAATAAAGTAATACCAGTATCCAAATACAGGAAGGCAGCAACTGACGTAACATCACTGCTGTATAGGGCATGGGGTTAGGCAGGAGTGAAACTGGGCAACCTCTCATTTTAGGGAATAAGTATTTTAAAGGGCAGGAATACCGTGGGATGAAAGCGGCTCTGGCACTGCCCTCCCCCCCACAGCTGCCCGAGAGCAAATGTACATGAACCCCGTCAGCACAGCATCCCTAGAAGAGCTATGCTGGTGGTGGTTCTGCTCCTTTACAAACCTGCATGATGAATTACCTCTTTCAACTTCACATTCAGGAGAGGATGCCCCACTGCATTCACTTCGAGGACCTAGTACAGGAAACATCATCCCAAATTCAGAGAGCGAGACAGGACTGGACAGATCCAGGCTGCCAGGTCGTGTTGCTGTAGGAAACGGAGTGGGCATCTCATAGGGACTTGTAGGACCAGAACTGAAACTGGACACTGACTGGGTCTCAGAATCTTCTTCAGACACAAGGCTGCTGCAGTTGTCATCCTCAAACACTTCAGAAGCCACTGTAACGTTTAAGAATTCTGATTAACGTACCCATTTCCACCAAGCAACTTTTACACGCAACGTCAACTGCTGCGGTTGCCATCAGCAGCATGTGCGTTGCTATCTTAAGAAATGCATTCACATGTAGCGTTTTAACTACTTCATTGCATTCTAACATTGCATCTCATTAGCAGGCCTTGGAAGAGGAGAAGAGATTCCTGTTTCTTGAGAAGCTTTTGGCAGAAACAGGCTAAGGTGGTGTACCATCCAATACTGTATCACCACCACCAACCATTGTTTTAAAATAGGCTTGTTTCTGTCTGTGCTATCCACATGGTAGTCGGTTGTAAGACATAGGAAGCAGTTTGGGATGGTGACACTCTGCAGTAAGTGTGCTTTACTCACAGTAGGATGCCTTACGGGGATGGTCAATATTTATCTGTAGTAACACAACCATTTCCAGAGCGTGGGGTGGAATAAGCCACAGACTCCATACTGAGAATACATTATGCAATGGTGGGGAAATTAATTGGTAAGAGATATTCCATTATGCACATTCTAAGTCTAGTAGATATTGTTAAAGCTAAAGTTTCCAGTCTTTGGTCACTGCAGGTTTGGGGCCTACATTGCCAAAAGCTTATGCACACAAGTAGTCCCATTGCACTTAAAAGGGTAACTCACATACATAAGCTTTTGCAGGACTAATGCCTTTGACAGAACCACATTCAACAGTGAAGTGATGACGATAGAAGTTATCTTCTGTTACAATTCCTTAAAGTTCTTTCTAGTGAAAGCAAGGCACACTCAAGAGTCCAGTTTAAAAAAAAATAGAACACAGCAAGTGTGTTAAAAAGTAAAACATTCAAAGAAAAAACCTCAAGGTTGCATGTCTCAAACCTCAGGCTCCTACTTGTTAATTTATGAACATAAAAACACCTATCAACTTTTTTGTTTCAAGGATCTTCAGCCTCCATGTACTATGTGCAACAGAACTGACCTAAGGATGTGTCAGCAGATAAAAAGATGGACATGCACAGCAGCTAGATCCTGATCTCTCTTTTATTCTGGAATTTTTTAAAATACCAAAGTCCAAGATTACACAGCAAAGTTCCAGCTCCTCCAGACATAAAACTGGTATGTAGCTGGTCCTTCCAACGTTTTATCAATACACATGGGACAGACCCTGATCATTTTGTATAGGAAGAGCAACAGTGGGTTACACAGAGTAGTTCCTATTTGCAGAAGTTATCTACTTTTAAGTAGCACTGTAATCTGCTAGTCTAGGACAAATATGGCTAAAGAAAATTTCGGTAAATGAAGTTGTAAAGTATCTCTCAGATCACAATATGTAAATTACAAACAAGGTCCTTCATTTCAACTCCCCACCACCGCGTACACTTGCTCATGGAAACTTCTGAACACACAACTTTATACTTACTGGAGATGGTGTCTGACTCCAGTTTACATGTTGAAAGATCTTCCACTGAAGTGTTACTGCCTTCCGCACCTACGCCACAGCCCCGGGGCCCCATAGCAGCGGACCGTCTTTTCTCGTGGATCTCATCTGAGATCATCTCAAGGTTTTTCAAGGCTGTTTTGTACTCTCCCTTTGCTAGGGCCAGCTTTGCCTGCAGGTCATCCACAGTCTTCTTAAATTGCTAATGGGGAAGGCAGATGGGGTTTCTTTAGAAGATTGCGGATTTCAAACATTCTCATTATGTAAGGAGGGGAAGAGGGGCTTCATTTCCACAACTAAACAGGCAATGTTGCCTACTTGATAAGAGCACTGTACTGAGACACTGGTAACTTCTACTCCTGGCTCTGTCACGGGCCTACTGGGTGACCTCGGACAATTCATGTCGCTACTCTGTGCCTCAGTTTCTCATCTGTAAAATGGACACAATGGGGATCCTTTGTAAAGTGCTTTGGGCTCTACCCTTGAAAAGTGGTATATCAGAGTGAAGTACTGTGTGAGTGCAGGGGTTGGCAAGCTTTCAAAGAAAAAGCCTTTTTGGGGGGGGGGGGCAAATATACGGATAGCCACATCACATGCAAAACTACTGTTCAAATATACAGATAAGCAGGTATACAGCTGATGACAACCTAATTCTGACTTAAATAAATGAAACTGTTGATGGCATAAGCTATGTCTATTTACATTTTTCCCCCTTGGTTACTCTAACAATACAGTAGGACTGTATGTTCTGTTTTGGTGACAACAGAATGTAATGACCATTCCCTGTCATATTTCATGTTAAATTATATTTAAAATTGCTTTGGTGAAGGAGGCAGTTCCAGGCTGGGTCAAGAGATTGGCGTGCAGAAGGGGTTAAGGGGTGTGGGCTCTGGGAAGGCCTTGGGTACAGGGGGCGGGGAGAGGAGTGTCCTAACAAGCAGTTGGGGTGCACATGGTGCAGGCTCTGGCAGCTCCCAGCTAGCGGTGCCAGCAGAGCTCAGCCTGCATGCCCTGGCCTCACACCACTGGAAGCAGCTGGCTGCTAGCATGCCTCTGCACACCTCTTGGGGGGCGGCAGGTCTCCATACACTGTCCAAGCCCGCAAACACTGCCCCTAAAATACCATCCACCAGGAGGGGAGGGGCAGCATGCAGAGCCACATCCTTCCTCCCACCAGGAGTAGTCAGAGACATGCCAGCACCCAGCCACACAGGTTTTAGTTGAAAAGAACCCTGATTACACATCCCACCAGTGAAAGTGAGAGGAGATAAGAGGCAGGAGGGAAAACCATTAGGATGTTCCGGTTTGACTGCACTGGAAAGGATTCTGCGTGTGTCACTTAGCCAGGAATGGCGCATAAGGCTCTAGTAGCTCAAGGCAGGGTGCTTTCAGTTAAGATGAGGAGCTAATGAAAGTGCTCAATAATAGGCCATGTTTATTCTGACCATTTATTGAAGGGAATGGACACAAACAGAAAAATACTTGGTATAGTTCTGGAGGTTCTGATCATCTAGAGTGGGCCCTCGAGCCATTTGGGACATTACTGCCACACACTGGAAAGAGCCTGAGCAGACCCTCAGCATTTACCTCACCAGCTAGAGAGATGCTAACAGTCCTTCCCTCTCCCCCTACAGGGAAAGGGAATAGGAACGGCTGAATTGCTCGTTTGGCAATAAAGAGATGCAGCAAGTTTTTCAGACAAAGAAAATTAACATCACATCCCGATTACCAGAACTGCACACTGATTTCAAGATCCAGATTGCAGCAAGCTTCAAAGCCCTGTATATTATAATATGTAGCTTTAATTGCCCCTTCCCGCCCCGCACACACCCCTCACTCCACAGCTAGGAGAGAAGATTGGTATGAGGAGTACCACAAAGAGAAAATATGAAATACAGCTTTGACAGGATGGGTTATGACAGTTTCCATTTATTAATTCCTCTTTGTACTGTGTTGAACAGAAGACTCGACATGCCTAAGGGAAGCCTACTGTACTGCATTTTCCACAGCTGCCCTGTGGCATATCAACATCTGGGTAAAAATTACAAGCTGTCACTTGACTTTTCAGGGGGTCCTGCTCACAGGCTAGAGGGCTCTGTAGAGAAGCGTGTGATCGTCTGCAGACGGAGAGAGTGTGTTGTGCCTATGTTTTAGGGAGCCACTGGCTCATCCAAGAGCCAAACTGGAGAATGACTTGATCATTCCAAATGCTCAGAATGAAAGTCAAGTTACGTTTGTAGCAACCTTCCTCCAAGAGCATTTCTGATTTTCTCTCACTTCTCCATGTGCCTGCTGTGAATACAATATGCCTTGCCTGAGAAAGGTACTTGACACTGTGCTGAAGGACTATCAAGAGAGCCATCTGGGGCCACCAAATTTGCAGTCAACCACTGGCCCCGTTCCACGGAACAACGGTCTCTGCACAGGGGCTTGCAAGGTAGGACAGTGGCGACTGAGGAGGGCGCAGTGTCGCCATTTGAGCGCACAGCACAGGGACAGAGGTGTTGCTCAGCTAAGGATGTTAAACAGAGTAATTTACTAGTCGATGTACACGTCAAAGGAGGAATACGGAACTCCACATGCAGCCTGGGGCCACCGGGAAGTCCCGCTGACTCCTGTCTGCACACGGGTGCCAGCTTAGAATTGTACAAGAGTCCCCAAGCAGGGGCTCTTGTGCATTTCGAAGCGAAAGCGTCCTCTTGGAGCCTGGAGTCAGCAGGGGACTCAAACTCCCCCACTGTCCCCGGGCTACATGCCGCACTGCCGCTTTGAAATGCTATGCACAGGTCTGGTCAGGGCTCCCTGAAGCATTTGAGGTACCCGGGATCAGCTGGGTGCTCCTCAGCTGACCCTGGGCTCCACGCAAACACTGCGGCGGCATTTCAAAGGGGGCAGCACCGCACAGCTGATCCCGGGCTCAGCTATGCGGCGCTGCCCCTTTGAAACGCCACCGCAGTGTTTCAAAGCGTCAGTGCTGCACGGAACGCGGATACTCCTCAGCTGACCCTGGGCTCCACGCAAACACTGCGGCGGCATTTCAAAGGGGGCAGCACCGCACAGCTGATCCCGGGCTCAGCTATGCGGCGCTGCCCCTTTGAAACGCCACCGCAGTGTTTCAAAGCGTCAGTGCTGCACGGAACGCGGATACGGGCTCTATGCAGCGCTGCCGCTTTGAAGTATCCCTTCTATCTGACAGAGGCAGCAAGGGGGGAGGGAACTGACCAGTCGACTCGACTATCCAATAAGCATTTGTTTATCGACAGTCGACTAGTCATTCACATCCTTCTGCTGAGCAGGAGTTTGCTCTGTGCAAGGAGGGGCCAACCATTGCTACACACAAGGATGGTGTGCCTGAGAGGGAAGACCGGAGGAAGACCTGAACTGCTAACAAACTACCGGCTTACAGGAAGGGTGAGCTCAGACTAGGGGAGGAAGTGCGCTCAAGTACTTCAAAAGTAAAGTCTCTGTGGTTAAAAATATCCCTTTGCTGAGTCTATGTCCCTGGCTTGCCTCACACCTTGTCCCAAAAGTGGTTAAATTAGGGTGCAGAGGGCTCACTGCCTAGACAGAGCTCTGGGTGAGCTTGTGTAAGTGACAAGGGGAGAAAGGGTGACACCCTTGAGAGCTCAGGGGCTTATTTCAGAACTTAGAGGAGCTGGATGGCTGTTTATATCCCAAGGAAGGGCCCCAGAGGAGGCCTGAGTCTGCACCTCAAAGGTACCACAGCTAAAACACAAAGACAAGACTCTACCAGACTCAGTTGGTTTAAGAAGCATGTAGGATCCAGTGATTCATTTACCGATTGCTACCTGCATAGCTGATAGCTGCGCCAGATAGAAGCACTGCTAATATAGCTGTTCTCTTCTACTCAGCAATCCCTCCACCATTAGGGGAGAGGGATAGCTGAGTGGTTTGAGCATTGGCCTGCTAAACCTATGGTTGTGAGTTCAATCCTTGTGGAGGCCATTTAGGGATCTGGGGCACAAATTCATCAGGAGTGGTACTTGGTCCTGCTGTGTAGGCAGGGGACTGGACTTGATGACCTTTCAAGGTCCCTTCCAGTTCTAGGAGATAGGCAATCTCCATTAATCCTCCATGCATGTACATGACACACCTCTGGCCTCATTACTATCACCAGCAGAAATGAACTGCTGCTCTATCTACAGATCACGGCTTTCAGAACACTTCCTGCAGAACAGGGAGAGATGAGTGAATACTGCCTACCCTTTTCTGTGAATATTCTGCTCTTTCCAACCAATTCACTGGGTATGTGTTTGCACCTGCCGTAGCTCATTCTCCTAGCACACATTTTAAGCTCCTATCTTGAGCACAGTCAGCTTCCTGATTTGGCTTTCTGCAATATTTCTACTGGAAACTTGATTGTAAGAACTGTCATCCAATCACAGAGAAGAAACAATATTGTGCAACTTTAAACACTTACAGACACCTTGAACTGTAAGCCAGACAGTAAATGAAATTCACACACTTCAGATTCTGCAGAAAGAGGCAAAACTGGTCAAGCTATTTGCTCCAGTCTAGCAATAAGCAGCAGGGCTCTAACAGGGTTTTGGGGCCCTCCTTCACAAGTGGAAACCATCTTTTTGGGCCTTTTCTTTTTAAAAACAGGCTTCCTCAACGTAATGGGTTGGGAATGGAATGCACTTCATACAGAAAGGCAGTGTGATGATAGCAGCACACTGCATGGTATTTTAACATTTTTACTGCAAGCAGTCATTACTACATCTGCATTAGATACATACCTCTAGCTGTACATAGTATTTTGCCTTTAGTTCAAAATAAGGCCTGTGGAAAAACAAAGAATAATGTGTTACAATGGGCAGGTTAACACCAGGCGATTGGAGTAGGAGAGAGGTTCTGACCTCAAGCATTAAAGCAGTTATGTCTATGTCAGCAATTTAATCCTCTAGGGTTGCCTGTTTGCACACTGAATTTTTTTTTTTAACAAGACCCTAGTTCTAAAACTTGTACTCTTGAACAATACAGATTGTCTTAATACATTATAATAATTGACTTGAGCTAACAATACAAGTCTTTTAGACTTCGGTTCTGCCAAGCACATAAGAATCTGCCCAACTTTGGACATGCGTAGTCCCGTGGTAACAGTGTACTTTCAAGGTAAAACATGCCTACAAACCTTGCAAAATCAGTGAAGACATACCCTTTCAGAGGTGCCATTTCAGATTTTGGTAAGGGGGCTGACTTGTTGGGAGGGGAAGAGAGTGAGAGCATGAGGTGGGGGGGGCGGACTGAGGCTTCAGCTCTGTAACTGAGCATACTCAGTACAAGCCAAGCACCAAATGGGGAGGGGGAAACCAACCCTAGTTCGAACTAGTGTGGCTAATGTAGGCATTCGAAGTTGCAAATGAAGCCCAGGATTTAAATATCCTGGGCTTCATTTGCATCTTGCCGGGCGCCGACATTTTTAAATCCCCCTTAGTAAGGACTCCGTGCCCACGGCTACACGCTGCACGGAGTAGGTAGTTCGAATTAGGCACCTCGGGGAACGAAGTGTACCGGTAGTTCGAATTAGAGAGCCTAATTCGTATCCTACATGGCTCTCTGCATGCCTATGCAGTGCCTTTTCCCACCCTTCTTGTCATTAAGGTGGGCCTCACAAGTCAAACCTTGTAGCTGTGTTCATATGGGATGGAAATGAATCCTACTACACTGGTTAAGTAAAATGCCTGTGAATGTTAGACAGCAGGAAAGATTCAGAACAGCTGCACATTTTTCTCTCCAGTTGCACGACATTCCAAGGTTTAATCCTTGCTCAGTGCCAAAACAGAAAGAAGCTACACTCAAGTCGTTTCCTGCTTTATTTATAGCTTCATCAGATCTCAAATATACAAAAGGCAGTTTAGAGGCAAGTTCTAGTCCAAAGCTTTAAAGAGAGTCTGAATCTGATGCTACACAGGCCAGAACTTCCAAGCACACATTTCAGAAGATATCCCTATCAGGGCCAGGCAAGAATAGTCAGACAAGTCTTTACACGCAATCAAGACTTCAACCACTACCTAATATTTCCATCTTGCAAGTTGAGCTAGCAACTACTACTGAATAGCACCTCACTCTGCAAACAGTCGCATCAAAGTTTGAGGAGCAATGCGTTACTGACTGTAAGGGTGCCAGAATCTGGCTTTCAAATACCAGACACATAGATGTGGTTAACCCTGGTTCATAACTCAAGTTCATCTAAAAACCTAAGCTGTACACAACAGTCAAATTCTAGATTTGTCACAGATTCTTTGTTTAGATGCATCACACGCTCGTTGGGTCCCCCGCAGCCCTCTGTGTACTATTGCTATTTGTGAATTCAAGCACCCTCACTCCATTATTGTAATGTGTTTACTGTATGACCAAAACCATCTAGGCCTGCACTATGACTCTACACCCTCAGGTCATTACTCCACTGGTGGGCCCACTGAAGACTAGTCACTAATAACTGCCTGCCACTGAAAGCAGCGATTGACAATCTGGGTTCAACCATTAAGAATTCATTATCCTCTTTCCATGTAACCTCCTCATATAGTTTAGCCTTACAAGAGGAGATTAACCTACTCTGAAATTCAGCCACATAAGATCTATACCCAACCCTGGTTCAAAGTGACTCTTACACAAGGCCCTGGGTTTCACTCTAATATTAGGCTAAACAATGCAAGCCAGTCAAGTCACAGTGCTCCCCCTTCTGCATGGGACTACCCACAGTTCCTGGTCTCATTCTGTGGGGCATCTCACCATCTATTAGTGTGTAGAATCAGTCCTTTGTACTATTTTAGGGCCACGGTGTCTACTACAGTGGATACTGCCATAGGGTACTAGCCACACACAACCAGCCAAATATCCACATGTGGCTAGTGGGTTGGACACCACGGTTTTAGATAAGTTTTTTCCCCTGGTGTTTACCACTGCCATGGTATCTGAGCACTTAGAAATAGGGATATGATAGTGTACCGCTGAATGAAGACCTCCCCCACCCCACATGATGGCGGGGAGGGATGCACAGAAGAAAGCAGGCGGGAACTGGTGCTCACAGGGAGCTGGCAGTAGCACCATCAGGCAAAACTGGCTCCCCACATGCACCAGCTACCATAGAGCAGCCTTGTCCCCCCATCCTCCAAGTGTAAACATGTGACTGCTGAAAATTCTAGTGGTTACAAATTCACCAAAAAAACCCTTTTAACATCCCAACTTCAAGGAGTGATGAAGTCAGCTCCAGCATCCCCAAGGTGCAGGGGAAAAATGGTTGCTGTTTTTCAGATAAAGAATGTGAGCACCTTTTGCCTGGGGGAGTTTGTTTTTTACATTCCCCTCTCCCTGAGCTCATGGGAAGAGACTGGACAATGGACTCCTATTGCCCATAAGAACTGGTGTGTGTTTTACATTATGAAGCTCACATGACAATGAATAGTTTGATGTTCTGAAAAGCTTTGCAGTGTTAAGCCTTGGAACTCCTCTGAACACTGGCATAGGAATGTAGAAGGGATTGAACACTAGATACATGATTGCTGTTTAGCCAAGCAGCAGAAGCTAGAAAATTAAAATTAAAAATTAGTGAGAAATATTTAGGCAATTTCCATCTAATGTTGAGCAAGTAGTTTAAAAGGCAGCTTTTCTAGATGACAACCACATTTGCACAGACTTCTGTGCAGCAGAAGAGAACCACACATCAAAGGAAGACACATCTGACCACATGTGCTTCTTAGCTATGCCTTCTGATGTGTGCACTTTTCTACAATAGCTTTCACGTGACTTGTCAAGGTGGCACTAGACAGCAAGCAAATCTGACATGCAATATGCAGCTCAGAGGGAGTCTCACCTCTCAAGTGTTTGTCAGCCTTGCTCCTTTCCTAGCCAGAGTGAAGTTCTGTGACCACGTGGGCTGGGCTGCAAGTCTGACACCAGTTACAATATCTATACAGTCTGCTGGCAAGTTCAGCAGAGAGGGAACCCTTTAAGCCAGGTGTGGGAAGCAACCTGTGCAAATAAGCTTAGCAAGTAAACGCACCACCAGCTACCACACATACTTGGATTTATTGATGGCCCTTTTCAGTTTCTTCTCCAGCTGCTTCATCCGGCCCATTGCAGCATTGTATTTGGCTGCCGTTTCCTTGTGCACCAGCTCACTTCTCGTTTTCGTCTGTTCTGCCTCCATGACCTTCAAGAGAAAACACAAATGGTTTGAGTTGTAGCAGGCATGCATCATGCATATCTGCTTCACAATTTTAATTAACATTTCAATAACCCCTCAACCTCTCTGAACCTCTTAAGAGGGTAACAGGGCGGAGGGGAGATACAGAAGAGAAGAGACATCTTCTTTCAATTAACCTACTTAGAAAAATGTTTCTTGGAAGAAACAGCAGCATGTCTGGTTAGCAAATAAAATATTAACAATACAAGCAGCATACTGCTGTTAACTAAGTGCATTCTGGGAGACCTTTGGTATAAGCAGCCTTAAACTGAGATATTGGAGATCCACTAGCACTGCTCCATTCTGAGCTACCATCTCATCTCTGATACTTCTGCATTCTCTTCCATAGGCAAGTTACAGTAGACTTCCAATAATCCGGAACCTTTGGGACCTAGGTGGTGCCAGATTATCGGATATGCCAGAGTATCTAGAGCAGGGGGCTGTGACAGGGAGGGAGCATCCCCTCCAGCGGGGGACTGAGACAGGTCTGCCGGGACCCACACTGCGTCCGGGGAACGGCACGGCGACGGGCGAACCCTCTGCCGTTTTGCAGGAAGGCGGGGGAAGCCCCGCACCACTGCCAAAAGTTTCCGGGAGGGGAGCAGGCTGCCCACCCCCCAGACTGCAGTACTTATTGCCAAGCAGGGGGGTGAGGGGCGTCACTGCAGGAGCAACCCAGCTGCTCTGCTCCACACTGCTTCCCCAAGTCCGCTGCTGCTGCTGCTGAAACTGACGAGCGGCAGACTTGAGGAACCTGCAGAGCAGCTAGGGTGCTGCCGGGTTGGTCCCACAGCTCCACCCCTCACCTCCCTACTCGCCGGCAGCACCCCAGCTGCTCTGCTCCGCTGCTTCCCCAAGTCCGCCACCACCACTGCAAAATGGTGGAGGGTTCGCCCCTCGCCGTGCCATTCCCCGCACACACACCCTGGCCGGTCACAGTGCGGGTTCCGGCCGACCCGTCACAAGGGTATAATTCCCTTCCCCTCCCCTTTCCCAGCCGTGAGCGCCCATGGGGCTCACAGCAGCTCCAATTGTCCAGCTGGTCGGAGCACTTCCAGGTTCCAGTTGGTGCCGGACTATCAGGAGTGCCGGACCACTGGATGCCAGACAATTGGAGTTTTACTGTATTTCCTTCACAGAACATTCCTCTTCCGGCTACGAGGACGAGCCATCCCAGATGCGGACATACTGACTAGTCAGGCAGAATGTATGTGTATGACTGGCCCAAAGGTCACGTTCATCATGCTTTCTATGAACACTTCCAGTCCACCACACAGCTTCATGGCTCGGCCCCAGACAAGCAAACATTTGAATGCTTCTGAATTATGTTCACTGCCTCAGTCCTTGGATTTTTGTACATTTTGTTTTAATTGCTGTAAATATCTTCGTCATCTGCTCCACTGACTGTACTGTGTCATTTGCGATGCCAGTGATGCTGTCAGGCATATTTTTGATTTGCAATTCTAAGAGCTATAATAAAATTAGGATGTCTATTTTTCTGTACTACTTGACAGAAAACAAGAATGGAATGAACTACATAACAGGACCTAGCCAGAGGTTAAACTGAAGTCACCATTACTCTGTCTCTCTCCCCCAACATTTTGACAAGACATGAAGAGTTCAATTGGATAGGTGAGACACAGGGTCTCTCATAAGCAAGCATCGTTACAGAAAGTGATGGGACCCTGTTTTCTGTGATATTTCTCTTCCAAGAATTCAGTAGGCCAACCAGTTTACTCCCGAACTCCAAAGTAAATAACTCAAAGTATCTTCCACTTTTTGAACCATTTCAACACACATTAGAAAGGGCAGACTACCTCAGACCAAGGTAACATGCTCCTATTTCAGAAAAGATGATCAACTTCAAATAATTTGTTTTTCAAATATTAGTCTTACCAGCTTTGCTGTGTCCTCCCGCGATAAAAAGAACAGCATCTCTTGAAGGCTATGCTAAACAGCGATATTTTAAACATGCAAAGGGATGCAAACAACTTGAAGTATGCAACTGATCTTTGCTTTCCAAGTAGACCAGTGCTTTACCCCGTGATGCTTACACAAGAGACTGAACGATGAAGTTAAAGCTTAGTGTATAGCAATTTTCAGGTATCGTAATAGTGAGATTTTATTTGTGGTCACATTCCACTCAGCACTACGTATTTTGCAACAAAATACAAGGTAACTCTCTAACCTAGAAAGAATATTTTACACAGGCTCTGATTTTATCCAAGAATATACACTCCACTACATGTGCCCCTCAGTTACCTACCTATTTAAAGAAGACTCCCTCCTTTGGAGGAAAAGGTCAAAACTATAAAATATTCAAGATTCTGCTCTATATCCTGCACATTAGTTGATCTCTTTGCTACTACTCAGCTTGTGCAGCAGTCAGGAAGCTAGAATGATGCTTTAACCTTTCCTAAAAGCCTGCATTAGACCCCCGGTTATAAACCTTCTCTCATTTGTGCACTCCTAAACATGTCAAAGGGAGGTGCAGACTCCTTTGAAAAATCTTAATCTGCAGATCCCCAGGTGTTCACGGACCAAAGGTTGAAATTCACCATGTTAGGCAAGCCTGACTTTGGCAAGAGAGTGTCACATTTAAGCTGGACATTCTTCTAGGACGGCAAGGAAGTGGATTTGCCTTCCTTTGGCATGGCATAGAAATTTAAACATAGGCAACAACTCTCAGTGGGTGCACCACAGCTGGAACAGCTACAGAAAAAAATATGGTGGGTGCTTACCACCCACCAGCAGCCCATCAAGCTCCTCCTCCTCCCCACCAGCATCTCCTGCCCACTGGCAGCTCCAAAACAACAGCTCCCTCTCTCTTCCACTGCAATCAGCTTTTCCTACATGCCACAGGTCATCTTCGGGAAAGAAGGGGAGGAGCAAGGTTCAAGCACTCTCAAGGAAGGGGCAGAATAGGAGGGGGCATGGGGCGGAGCCAGTGGAGAGCACCTCCCAGCACATTAGAAACTCAGCATGTATTGATTTAACCCTGCTGGAAGCTCTGCAGAAATGAAGCTGTTCGTTTCCAGTTGTTGGCATTCAACTGAGAAGTGACAAGAGTTTTTGGTTGTTATTGGTGCTGCTGGCTTAGACATTCTGAATCACAGGATTCATGGCGTGAATAATGCTGCAAGCACCAACATACCTGGTAGCCTAGTGGCCACTTCAAAAAAAACAAACACTATTTGTGAGGTGAGCAGACAAATGACATTATGAACAACCAAAACCAGTCAACCAAAAAGGTGAAATGTGTCTTTAGACACATTTTTTTAAGCTTTGTGAAAGAGGTCAATTGTGAGAGTGGTTGCTTATTTACAGTTTCCTTTTACAATTTCACACTAAAGAAACACTCTCTCATTTCCCTAATTCCCACACTGTCTTTATTTAGTTAAAAGGACAGATTGTAGATTCCACCCCACAGCACAGTTAAAGAACAACTCTAGAAGCACTAGGATAGCTAAATCCTACACATCTCTGGAACAGTCAACGAGCCTATGCACTTGATGTAGAAATGAGACTGCTAACTCTTTTCACATTGACCTCTAAACAGCCTGCAAATGGAGACTGTTGGTTGCCATGCAAACCCATTAAGAGTCTTGATTATCAGCCTCCACCTTTATTCCCAGGCATTAAGAATGCTGCTCTAGAGGGTTTGTGTAGGGCCTAGTTAAGAATGCTAGTCATCTGAAGTGATCACTCCCTCTCATTATTGTATTATACCCTTGGTTTTGGTCTTTTGTGAAAGACCAGGATGCTATTAAAAGTTACAAATGCATTCACAGAGTAGCTTGGCACAAAAAGTTCTGCTTTATATTGGCTATTCCACTTGCTTGCTCCTTGGTGTGGTCTAAAAATGAGCTATCCCATTAACATAGTTAATCAGTAGATCATCAATAGCATCAGGTAGAATTTAATCACAGCACAGACAGTAACTAGATAAAAGGCAAAATCTCAGATCACCAGCCTTGTATTCGATCAACGGGGACATAATATACAATAGGCATTTTTGGAGAGCAGGTTTGCATGAGATGCTTTGTTTTCTTCTAAGTAATTAGGACAAGCCTAAGTGAAGAATGTACCTTTGTCAGGATCTCAAGAGAAATGATGCAGTCAATAGAGAAAAAGCACGGAGCACCAATGAATCCTGTGAGACACCAAGAGTATTCACAGAGGTGGCACCTAATTCTTTTTCCAAAAGCAATCAGTGTGTCAGCTTGAGGGAGGTGTTAGAAACAAGGTGGTAAGAGAGGCAATGCAAGATGACAATCATTTGTCCAAATGCCCCATATATTTCTGAGCAACTAAAGGGGGAGATGAGAAGGAATTACAAAGCCATGCAGCACACGATTTGTTTTTTGAAAGGTAAAATGCTCAGGACATCTCTTTCTAATACAATTAATCTCAGACTCCAGATATCACCCTCAACCCCCTCTTCTCCTTATGCGTGTACTTGTGCATCACACTGATTCCATAGAAGCATTAATGCCATTATTCTCAGCCCCTTTGGAAGTCTCTTTGTATACGCCCGTGTCTCTAAACCTGGACAATTGTGAAGCTGGTTTCTTAAGCTCTGCTACTGAAGCAGATAAACCCATACCCTGCCTCTCCTCAGAAACCTTCCTAAACTGAGGACAAACACTGAAGCTAACTCATTAACTGAAGTCTTTGATGCACTTTTTAAGCAAAGAAAGTGTCATTATCCCCATTGTGGAGATGGGGAAATGGAGGCACAGAGAGATTAAATTACTCACCCCAAGTCACACAGCAGACTGCGAGCCAGGAATGGGACACACTGGATACAAGTGTTCTGGGTATTGTCTATGTGTGATGGAGTTCCAAACCATGAGGGTGTAAGGGGATTATAAAGACAGCGAGGCACCCAGCTCCTATTTAAATTCAATGCCTACTTCCCTTAGGCTTCTATGAAAATACTAGTTGAAGTTCAGGGTACAGGCCTCTTCAAACCTCCCTGCAGTTATTCAGGCCAGTACTGGTTGGTCCCCTGAATAAAAATACCTGCTATATTTTCTTCTTCCATCTCTGCTGGCAGGAATACAGAACAGCTGCCATTTTACTCACTAAGTCTCTGGGCTTCCATCGCTCAATTGTATTTTTTTCATCCCTAGATTATCTTAGGCAGCATTAAGGGTTGTTGTTGGGGTTGTTTGTTTTTTGGGGGGGGCAGGGGGGAAGGAGAAGAATCCACTTTCATTGAGGCCATCTACAGGAGAGCGATTTCAAAAAGATTCCCAATTTAAATTCTGGTGTATCTTTCTCCACCCAGCCCACCACAACCCTAAGCATCCTCTCATTTGGTATTAGAGAGTCATCTCCTTAAAATTCATTACCATTAACTTCAAGTTCTACTTTTGGGGGGGGGGGGGGGGGAGAGAAGAGAGGGAGAACAGGCAGTCTCTCACACACCAAGCTTCTAAACAAAACTGCCCAGTATCTTTCTGGCACTTTTCCTTCAGAAAGTTGTGTTTGTGGAAGGCTTCAGACTTCCAGCCCTGGAGATGTTCAGTTTTTCCACAGCAAAAGCAACAGCAGCATACGTCCCCCCTCATACAGACTTAAGAGCACCTCAACTCTAACTTACTGTGATCACATGCAGAGCTAAGTCATTAGTTCTTCCTGCAGGAATTCTGCACACTACAAAATGCAGAATTTCGCAGAAATTAATCTTGTGCATGCAGAATCTCCTTCCCCCATAGAAATGGGCTGCACTGCTGCTGGCTAACACAAGGGGCCATTGCACTTGGCAGAGTCCCCCTCACACAGACACTGCGAGGGGATGGAAAGTGAGCTAGAGAGGGGTCCTGCAGCTGCAATTCTCAGCATGCCCAGAGGGAAGGAGAGGGCGACTTGCTGGAAACTATGCAAGCCTTGAACCAAGCATCAGGGTATTGCTCCCTCTAGATCCTGGGGCTCCAGGGAGACGGGAAATGCAGAATGGGGGGCTGCAGTTGAGCTGGGGGTGCCTACAAGTGGGCTCTGACCAGGGAGGGTTTGTATCTCTGCCTTGCCCCAATCTGGGCTGAAAAGGGGAGGGAAGAGGCAAGAGGTAACAGGAACTGGATTGCCATAAGTATCTCTTGACCTTTCTACTGGGAGGGGCATACCTAGTGTTCGACATACTTGTTGACATGCATTTTGAAATAAGTTACCTAAAGAGCTGAAACTGGTATGATTACACAGTGTTATTTTGACAACATTTGCAGAATTTCTTGGCGCAGAATGCCCCCAGGAATAAGTAGTTGAACCACCTCATATATTCATTGTTTGGTATTCCACACTGAAACCACCAAGGATGCCAGCTGCAGCATTGTCTGTCTGGTATGCAATATGCACAGCTCACACTGGTAACTGGTCACTACCAAGCTTAACTTTACTTGAAATTGCAGATTAGCAGTAAAATGTTGTACAGCCCACTGCAAACCCATAGGGGCACCGGTTTTCATCCTCATGCTTCAAGAAACAAAAACATTATTAGACTCCCCCTCCCCCCGCCATTTCAAATAGGACTACAGCTGCTTCTGGGCAGCCACAAAAAAGTGGCGTTAGTCTTGGGCATTTTTGAGGTAGAAGAAGCTTAAACACATTGCGGTGGTGACAATGAGATAAGTGTTCAGGCTTCGAATACCAGGCTTCCCATTTCACGCAGCGCATCTGATGCTTTTTTGGTACTGTGCACCATCTGACAGCACTATTGTATACAATTTATACATGAAGACAATTTATACATGAAGACTATCTTGCCTTATAATTCAATACATTTTCCACAAAGGGATTAGGATTTCAGAACTAAGATAATGTTACCCTATTGCTTCAGTCAGCTTGGAATAGTGGCACGTCTGGAGAGACTTGGCACAGGAAGCTTTTATGTTTGGTTGTTGTAGGGTTTGTTTGTTTTTACACACACACACACACACACACACACACACACACACACACACACCATTTTTGCATTTAAGACAGACAGTGAGAAGAAGTCAGAGGAAAACAGTTACTAAGAATTTCTGTAGCACACGTGTTTAACATTAATGCCCCCATCTAGAAGATTCTATGTAATACTAGTCTCTCTAGATTTCAAAGAACTTTAGAAGGGAGGCTGCTGTCATGATCCCTATTTTACAAATGGTGGAAGCAAAGGGGTTAATTGACTTGGTATGGGGCTGGCAGCAGAGCCAAGGAGAGAACTTAGGTCTGTTACTGAGAGGAGTCCAGGGCCCTATCCCCACATGCAGGTTTGAGATGTCTCAGTGCAGATACAGGATATAACTACCCTACTGATATCTGGGGGGCTCACAGCACTTAGAACAGCAGCTGTGGTCCTCCAAATACTAGTCTTGTTTTATCCTCCATTTCCCTAGGGCAGCCTCAGTGGAGGAAGGGGGTGGGGGGACACATGCATTGGTAGCACTCTGCTGCTCTCTCTCCAGGAGGAAGCTCCTGGTGCTAAGGGACCAACTTCTATGGCGCCTGTGAGAAAAATTGTACCAGAGACAGAGAAGAGGGCTGCTGTGCGTAAGATACAGAGGGGAAAAAGAAGAGGAAAACAAACTGCGTGATGGGAAAGGTTAAGAGGGAGCTGCTGCAGGGGCCAGAAGGTGAGGTGCTAATGGAGTAAGGGAGAGATTTTTTTGTCGGGTAGCTGATGTGACAGGCAGCAGCAGCAACACAAGCACTCGCACTTCTTACACAGAGCCTCAGCTCCTCCTGCCTCACCCATCAGAATAAGGGCATGTCTACACTGCAATTAGACACCCAGAGCTGGCCTGGGCTAGCTGACTTGGGCTGCAGTGCCTTTCAATTGCCATGTAGATTTCCAGCCTTGGACTGAAACACAAGCTTAAGGACCCTGCCAGGTGGGACATTCCCGGAGCTTGGGCTGCAGCCTGAGTTTTTATTTGCAGTGCAGACGTTCCCTAAGAGACCTCGGGGCCTTACAACCCGCTAGAGTGGCTTCCATGCACTCACTTCTAATCAGCCAGTGCAGACACTCCCCATTCTTGCCCACCCCCTTCACCTGCATGTCTGACTCAGCATTCCTCTCCCTACCCTACAATCAAGAAAAGGAGCTGCTGGCCCAGGGGCACTCCCACCATAGTGAACAGCATGGTTAAAAAAAAAAAAAATCTACGCAGACTCCACTGCGTTCATCCTCTCCTTTTGCTGCAACCACAGGGCGAACGGCTCTTTGCTTATTCAAAGTGGCTCTCCTGAACACTTCCCAGAAATGAACAAAGGGCTTTCACCATCTCACAGAAAGTCCCATCCTATTTCTTCTTTAATGGTGCCCCTCAGGTCTGATTCACAACCCATTTCTAGTCAGTTGCCAGTGCAACCCAGTAAGTGTTATTCCACCCTTCTGCGTCATCCCTCATGCAAAAACCACCCACAAACCACCCACACATCCCACAAAACTAGGCCTTGTGCATGCAACAAAGCTCACTCAAACCAAACAAGAGAATTGAGGCAAGCTCCTTAATGATCTTACCCTTTGGGTGGCATGATTAAGCATCTCTTGCCAAGCAGAGTCAAACTGACGTTTGTCATCCTCCAGCAACCTTTGCTCCGCAAGTGAAATGGTCTCCTTGGCAGCACGCAGCACCTCAGTAGCCCTCTGGAAATCCTGAGTTGCCTTCTGAGCTTCCAGTTGTGCCTAGACAACAGACACTGCAATTAGGCATCAATAAACAATTAATGTTTTTCTTTTTTAAATAGCTAAGAGCAGGATTTTAAGGATGAACACTCCACCCTTTTGTTATGTATGAACTGGGCCTGTGCTACCAATTTCCTTGCCTGGGTCACTGCTAGTTCACATCCACATGTCTTCTGTAAAGCATTACCATTGCTGTTCATATCCAACCCCCCCCCCCCCAAAAAAAAAAGCAGGAGATCAGAGCTCTGTACAATAAACATCTGGATGACAGATGGAGAAATGCTGCGTGAAACAGCTTTAATCCAGAAGAAACAGGAGGCAGCAAGAAACCACAAAAAATCCTAATAATTCTGCTCTCCATAGCCCTCTTGGTGTTGAATTTCACAAGAATGCAATGGGAAACAATGTTTTGGAAGTTCAGAGTTTAAGTAAATACCAGTTTTTTAGTCACTGCAGTATTAACAAGCAGAAGAGCATTTCTGAGCGGTTACATTATTACACAGTATGATGCACAGTTTTCCAGGGAAAAGATCTGTAATCGAGTTCTGAGTGTTTCCTTACAGCCAAATTATTCTTAAGTGCAGTAGTTTATAGCATGTAGATTAACATTCAGTGACATGCTGATTTGGTTCAGTTTCCAGTCCTGGGTCAGTCATTCAGCCCTAGGGACTCTTGTCAACAACTGTGTTTGAAGTAATAGTATTTAAAAATCTGGAGGAGAGCTATGAAATAACTGGCTTTATAATGACTTCAATCCTTGCGGATTCATTTCAACGCTCCACCCATACAAGTATCCTACAAAGAGATTAATATAATATTTCCAACCAATGAAAAGACAAGTTAAAGGCATCACCGAGTAAATGTACTATGTTATTTGACTTGATGGTTGGATATTTACTCAAACTTCTAAAAGCTGCTGGTTTTACAGATCAATCCTTTTTGGAAGAACTGGGCCCCAAAGTAACCATGAGATAATCCTATTCAAAACTGTCCTGAGATTGGGAAGTATTCCAATCTAAGCTCTAAATTCTGAACCATCAGTTTTTCCTAGCTGAAATGCATTCTACAAAACATTAGAGATGTAGCCGTGTTAGTCTGGTCTAGCTGAAACAAAAGACAGGACTATGCAGCACCTTAAAGACTAACAAGATGGTTTATTAGGTGATGAGCTTTCGTGGGCCAGATCTGTATTTCAGCTGAGAAAGTAGGTCTGCCCCACAAAAGCTCATCACCTAATAAACCATCTTGTTAGGTCTTAAATGCTGCACAGTCCTGTCTTTTGTTTCATTCTACACATCAGTGTTCCAAAAACCCGTAGCCAATGTGGTATGCGCAGCCATTTGCCCATTCAGCTGGACCAGAGGAAAAAAATTGGCATGGCAACCAATCTACTATATATTTTAGCAAGTTTGTGCACCCCTGTGCCCGTCCGTCTGCGAGTCTGTTTGTTCAAGGGCTCCTCCTAAACAGTAAGAGCTAGGGCCACCAAATGTGGTAGGCAGCTTCCTCTTCTCCTCACTTAAAGCAAGGTCAGGGTTTGGTTGTGCCAGGGCAATGGGAATGTTTCACATCAAAAGGAAAGAGAGGGGTGCATAAGCAATGACAGTTATGAATGAGCACGGGGGGCAGCAAGTCCTGCAGCCCTCAGGAGTAGCTGCCAGCCGGCAGGCGGCCCCCCCCACCCACCGGTC